AAGCCCACCTTGCAGGTAAGAAGATGTTATTAATAAATGATATTGTGGAAAGAATTAAGACTGCAATTGACGACGGACGACTTCCTAATACTATCGGTACAATAAATAAACAACACACTCTACAGATGGAGGCTTCATTTGAACATATTCTTATTGAAACGCCCTTACATTATCATAAGCTAGTTCGAAAATAAAAGCTAGACTAATTATATGAATATTATCATTGCTAAGTAACGACTAAGTATCTACGGAAGCGTCCTGGTGCAAAATCATAATGTTCTATGAAAAATATAAAACCTAATTAGGAGTTTATAACTCCTATATAGGAGATACAAAAGTCTTATTAGGAGTTTAAAACGTAGGAGATAAAAAGAGCATAATCAGGAGTTTTAAACTCCTACGTAGGACTTTGAAAACTACTACGTAGGAGTAAAAAAATCTAATTTGGAGTTGGAAACTCCTTCGTGGGACTTTTAACAAAACCTAATTAGGAGTTTCAAACTCCTACATAGGACTTAATAACTCCTACGTAGGGTTTAAAAACTCTTATCTTTGGTAATGTTATTAATTTCAATGAACACCTGTTTCATTCACTAGCAGTGGACTGTGTGCATATGGAGTATTCTTATCTAAAAGTTACTCACGCTGATTTGACAATTACTCAAAGTTTAAAAAAACAGCTCGATGCGCAGTTAATGGTCACATATAAAGGTAAAAGTAATTAGATGTGAAAAATGATAACTGACAAGGAAATTCAACTAGCTACCAATGACAAAGAAAAGGGATAGTAATGTACAATATAAAAAAAATATATTAGATAAAATAATCCTTATGGATATTACAGTTTGAAATTTAAATGTTTAAAAATATTTTCAAAATAAAGAAAAATAGTTACTTTGATACAGAAATGGTTGACATCATGGATGTTTTATTGCTGACAATTCAGAAGACAAAAAACAAGTTTAGCTATAAAGTATCATCAATAAAATGTTTGGGTAGAATTACTCTAACACAGTTTGATTCAGATTAACATACAAATGTGCTTTTTATTCACGAGGATCGAATCGCAAGGAACGGTATTCGCTTCAAGAGGTGAAAAATTATGTGTTTAATATGTAACTTAAGTGACCGCCAAGGCGGTACCATGCATTTAGCCCAGGGCTGGAAGATTTCATTTTATAAAGTCTATTTTCAGATCTTGCTTCCTAAATGTTATGCATTAGACAGAATCCACGGATAACAAAAGCTCACCCACAAGAACTTTGTATGAACGGTTATTGCCATATTGAGAGGAAATGGGGTTTTCTCTAAAAATCAAAGTAAAGGTGACCGCGACCTAAAAAAAGTCATCTATACTTTGTACATGCATCTGCCCTATGGATTTCAAAGCGTGTGTGTGCAATTGTATTCTTATTACTGAGCAGAAACGGTTTTCAAATCCAATGGGAAGTTAATAATGATCTTGACCTTTGACCTCTCAGATTAATAGGGTTCTTCTGGTAAATAACTGCAAAGATTAAATTTTAATGATGTGGATCAATTTAATTGGTTACAGTAGAAATAGATTTCAACTTTAAGCAAACAGTGACGTTGACCTTTTACTGTCAAAGAGGTCATAGTGCCCTTAATTCTTCAGCCTTTTGAGTCCACTGTATCTTTTTTTACCAAATATGTTTGATGTTATTTAACTATTATTATTGTTTGGTTTGGTTTTACGTCGCACCAACCATTTGCAGATCATATGGTACCTTTTCAGGTTTACTGGTGGAGGGAGACATTAGGTGCCCATCTGTGCATTATAATTTCAGGCACGAATGGGCACATGCGAAGTAGCTTCCTCACAAGAAAGAATCCAATAGTCCTTGTCGGGATTCGAACCAGCAGATGTGAGGGAAATTGAATAAAAATCAACGACCTGAACCAAGGACATCCCTCATTAACTGATACAGGCTAGATTTGTACTGATACATTTGTATTTATATAATTGTAACAACTCAATATTTTTATACAACATTTTAATTTTGATCATATCATTGATTTTATCATCTCATATATTACCCTGTTATGAAAACAAAACTATTTCACACTTGTAAATTACTTTACATGTATGTTATTATAATGAATACATGTACTTAATTATTTCCTGATATGTTTAATAATCAATTAACATTAAAGTACCTCCATACCAAACTATGTCAACTTTATGTGTTTGCTTGAAAGCGTAAAGCATCATCTACGTAATACAAAAACATAAACTATAAGATTTGTTACACGCTGCCTAAATACAGGAGAGTTACGTAACATTCTTTGACACCTATAATAAATAGTTTTAGATTAAATCTAACATTAATAGCAGAATGGATCAGTCTTTCATATATTAAAAGCTGTACCTTAAATAAATGGAGTAAAACATAGTTGATACAAATATAGAAGAAAACTGCATGACTTTTGTATGGATGCTCTCCTAAACAGACAAAACATTGTCAAACCGAAAATCCATCTTTCCACTAAAAGTAAGCTGGAGGCACCTGATTACCACACATGCAATCAGAGCAGACCAAAATCAGTATATCCGTGTCGTCTGAACATGGCCTGGACTATTAGCTATTCAGTCAAAATATATCTTAAAAAGAATTCCATTTTGAAACGTGTTATAAACAAACAGTCGTTACTAAAGAAATAAAACAGGTTGTAATATTGACAAAAGTACGGTAGCACAAATGTGTGTGTTTTATTTATCTCGTGCGAACGAGATACTATGTTGTGGCCACGAGTTACTATGTCGTGACCACGAGATAGCTAAGTCGTGGCCACGAGATAGCTAAGTCGTGGCCACGAGATACTATGTTGTGGCCATGAGTTTTTAAGTCGTGGCCACGAGATAGCTAAGTCGTGGCCACGAGATACTATGTTGTGGCCACGAGTTACTATGTCGTGGCCACGAGATAGCTAGATCGTGGCCACGAGATACTATGTTGTGGCCACGAGTTACTATGTCGTGGCCACGAGATAGCTAAGTCGTGGCCACAAGATACTATGTCGTGGCCAAGAATTACTAAGTCGTGGCCACGAGATAGCTAAGTCGTGACCTAGAGATACTATGTCGTTGCCACGAGTTACTAAGTCGTGGCCACAAGATAGCTAAGACGTGGCCACGAGATAATTAACGAATCAGAATACACTATATTATTATTATGACTTTTTTAAACTTAACAACTTACTTTAACATGCAACATTAATCTTTGAAAATGCTGAAGATATTCACTTTGAACTTGTCTTTACAGTCGATAACTTATAATCCAGTTACCTCTCTTGCGTGGGTTCGATCCCCGGGAGGTGCTTTGGTAGTTTAGCACGGAGGAAGGTAGTCTAGTAGTGGTGTAACTCTCCAGGAACGATTGTTAGGAAACTACTGGCCTATATGACTGAAATACTGTTGGGAAAAGGCGTAAAATGAATCAAACTAACAAACAAACTTTAGGATCATATTAGAAAGTCACCTTCCAAGGCCCACTAGACATTATTTTTGACTATAGCCCCTTCGTTGGGACAATTTTGTGATCGAATTGGTCAGTTTGTACGTACTACGGCCCATTTATCTTGTTTATACGATAACATGAGAAGGAATAAGTCCTGGTTTGTTTTTATTTTGAAGGGACATTGCCAATGGACAGTAGAAAGTCTATAAGGTAGAATCTTTGTAAGATGAAAAATTTAGAAGGGATAAGCCATAGTTTATATAACCCAGAAAGATCATTGCACCTGATCAGTAGATGACATCTATTTATTTTAAGGTCATTGGGTCAAAAATCAGGTCACAGTGACGCTAAATGTAAAATTATTGACCAGTCAATAAGTTGTATAAATGGCACTTTTAAAGGCTGGTGAAGTATGGGCATCCTTGTACATGTCTAGTTAATTAGGGAAATTCATATAAATGGTGTAATCTGATTGGTTATTTATCTCGTGGCAACGACTTAGTAACTCGTGGTCACGACATAGTATTTGATATAGTCTGGACAAACAACTTTAGATCTGTCAGAACATAACTCATTTTTTTCAAGAAACAAACAACTTGAGTGCGCGATTTTATATCATTCGTACATTTCATTTGCAAGAATAATAATTTTATTATGTAAAATGACACAGAAATAAGAAGCGTTTCTAAAAACGCTTAACTCAAACTGGGCTAAGGAAAACACTTATCGTTTAATTCTTTGTATATTTCTTACAGATCTTAACCATATTTTTCGCTTTAAGTTTCCAATCAATGTAAAAATTAAAAAAGTATGTGTTTTAGGGTTTTGATCTGTAGTGGCTTACGTTTTGAAGATATCATTCTATTGGATAGTTTCAACCATACAAATGCTGTTTTCGCACTTAAGCCTTAAAGAAAACATATGTCCCAATATTATGATAAAAGGTCACTTTACTATGCAAATAAAAAATTAAATCTCAATTTGATTGAGCTAGTTGTGACCTTTGATATTCTAAGATTGGAAGTATTTTACATGCAATTACTCTAATTTCTAAAAAGAAAATTTATTTTTTATTGTAACATCTGTTTTATAAACATAACAGATAGAATAAACGTGTCGGGTTGAATCACAACAGCAGAAATCCAGTAAACGTTACGTAACGATAATTCTCAAGACTGACAAGTTCGGCGTCATTGTCATAAATGGTCTCAAGCCAAAGTGATTGTCCAGCTGTAACTTCTATCACAGCACTATTTGTGGACATTGCTTGTCTATAATCTGTGGAATATGGATCAGCGTGTACAACGGCGTCCACAATGTTAACACCATCCTTCATTAACTGTACATTTGTCTTCCTATGGTTACATTCAATTGTATATGTTATGAAATATATCCCAGACACTGGAGCCGTAAATATACCGGTAAATGTGTTATAGACATTTCCATGATTAGTAATTATTCTATTACATTTGATTGTCATCCCTGGATTCAAACCCGTAAGCGGATGATCTAAATATGCCGTAAATGCTACAAATTCCGTAGAACTTGCTCTTGTTTTTTGACTTATCGAATATTTGTGTACGTCTTTGTCCTCAACACCTCTTGATTTAATATGGAAATCATCGACATCACGAGGAGGTATATTACTTTCAATGTTGGTAAGACCATCATTCTGCTTCGTTGTGTTATCTTCTCCGTTTTCCTCATTGAATAACCAACGTAAACGTTCATTCTCCTCTTCAATTATACCGAGCTTATGTTTTAATTCTCTGATATCGTTAGATTGTTTAGCAATAAGTGATTCCATATCGTGCATTTTTTTACTTTGCTGTTTCATTTCTTTACTCAAATCAGCAACATGTTTTGATAAAGATCTGCAATCATTTCCCTCTGTTTCCATGAAAGATGAAACAATCTCACGTATAAGCGCTTCAGTCAGAACATCGCCTTTCAAATCAGGAGATGTCGACGCCTTGTGGACTAAGAGTACAGCCACGATGAATGCAAGTGGTAACATTATTCCTTCTTCAATCAGAAGACCCTATTATCAAGATATATTATAAGAAAGTGAATGAATATGTGTCCTGTCGAAAGCTCTTATCATTGGTAACGCCACATATTACAACCAACACCTGCTTAATTCACAAGCAGTGGAATTCGTGCGTATGTAAACGTTACTTACGGTGATTTGGCAATGACTTAAAGTTGAAAAATAGCTCAATGCGCAGTTTTTGGTCATTAATTAGGTATAAACAATGATAACTGACAGTCTTACTCAAATAATGACATATGATAAAGAAAAGGACAGATATGGTAATATGAATACACTAAATGTAGTATTATGTGTATAACAGTGTGAAATTAATGTTTTACTATGTTTTAGAAATGAAGAAAATAGTTATTTTGATACCGAAATGGCTGACATCAGGGATGTATTTCATTCTCTTTTTAAAACTTTTTCACACTTTTTAAAGCATGACCGTAGGTGTAACTAACTCAGCGCTAAAATGCAGAACATAATAAGAATCTACTGGACCGCGCCAACGTATAAACATTAAAATTACGAAAATGACATAAGAAAACAACAAAATTATATAAGCACTACAATAAATTTATTATACGACTTAAGTACAGATATAGAAAATGAAAATTAATCCTTTGCAATATACACTATTTAACTACATGTAAATATTTTCTGTCATGATAATCTTCTCATTTAATTTGGGAATTTATTTCTTTACAATCATTTTGTCTATTTTTTTCCAATTCAATGTGCTGTTGCTAAAATTTTCATGTAAATCTAGTTAAAATATCTTAAACTTATATGTACTGTTTTCTTTTATCTTGTCCTACGATGTACCTTCTGTGACAATTATATCTATATAAAATATATTTCAATACAAACAAAAGAAATAAGTCATAAATTCAACAACTTATTACCATTTATAACTTGGAAGTTCAAATATTTTATATGATCTCTTTCTTCGGTATCAAACAACTATCCGAATTTTTCACTATCTATGAATAACAATCTAATCTAAAATGGACATGATAATATTTCATAAAATCACAATTGCAACGTAAAGCTTCCTTATTCACACAAGGGTTGGAGGTGTTAAAGAAATGTTTGTAGTCTCGTACTCATATCTCCGATTTATGATTGGTCAGACACATTATGTGCATTAACCAAAGAAAATCTTGGGATCCGAGGAGACAAATCTCAGAAAAATGTTAAATGACCTCCAGACAGGGACACAAAATCAGAAATACAATATATATCAACAATTTATGTGCAGAAAAAGAAAAGTAAAGATCTTATTCAGTATAAAACAAAACAGCAACAACAAATCAATAATGTTTAAAATATTAGGAAAGAGTATAGTCACATTCATTCAGGCACACTCAAAATCAATATGTCAATAAACAGTAAAAACATAGATATATTTTAGCTACAATTTATAATAATATTAAACAAGCACAATATTCCAAAGTATTCTACATGAAAGGATAGAAAAACATTCTTTCTTTACTCCCGATTGCAATTTTATCATTAAATTTTCTTTTTTTTTTTGTTTGAGAATATCAAAAATATGAGACAAATGTCCTTAAATGTTACTATCAACGAAAAGGTGACCTATAAATTTTTAATTCAGTAATTCACTGAATGATACTAAATATGTATGCAAATCGATTTTTGTGATCATACAAATTCGATGCACGGGAGGGCAATGAGACCATTATATGCATCATGGAGAAAAATAAATGATAAGCTTGGTTGACCTATAACAGTATGCAACTCGGACTGATACCTGACAGATATTTTCCGTATACATGACCGACATGCGCGAGCATTCTTTCCAGGTTTTAACAGGCGAATTTGGAATGGAATTTTTAGCCAAGCATTGGTTTCTTTACAATAATAATAATAATAATAATAATAATAATAATAATAATAATAATAATAATAATAATCCAAAACTGGTGAAATATTAAACATATATAAACACATAGTAAGATTCAACAAATGGTATAGAAAAGATCATTTTATACTTTTTTACCTTTTTATTTAGGGTAGCTTAAGTCAATTCTATATCATTCTTTGCAGACAATATTAAGTTGGCTCATATGACTATATTTGTTGAGTTGGTGGCCAAGCGTCGTTGCGATGTTATAGGACTATATTTTTTTGTTTTAATGGCCTTGACTTGTCCAACGTTTTGTTAAGTTGGCTCATATGGGACATGTATGGCTTTATATAAATTGGTCTGTAGGCATACTTAAGGGCCTTGAAGTGTCCAACCTCATATTATCTGTAAGCTCCTTCTTTCAAAATTAAAAGTAAACTTAAAATAACAGAAAAGCATGTTATTTTGGGTTGTAAATGTTTTCATCTTAAGAGTAGATTACATATATATTTATTCCAAGTGATAAACTAGATTGACAGAGTATTATGCTATAACATAGGAAAACAGCAAGCTACTGGATGAATATGTACAAAACTCATGATGCCGTGTCAACCTTCACACCAAAATGACTAATATATCTGTCTGCTTGCCATCCTGGTGCATTGTTTCACCTTGAAAATTTCTTAGTAAATTGAACATCTTTTTGAGCTAATTACTGGTGAAATATTATTCAACAGTCACCCAAGCATGCAAGATTATAAATAAAAATAAACCTTTTAATAAATGAAAAATATAAAAATAGATAAAAATAAAAAATAAAAATAAAAAAACACATACAAATATCTATAAGAAAATGTAAGGTAACATAAAAACGCCTTAGTAATGAGCTTGATTACACACAAACATGCGCTTCAAATCACATATCGTGCCCAACACCTAATGAAAAATTATAATTGTTGTATAAAAGTGACAAATTGTAAACAATGTAAAATGTATTAAAGCTGCACGCCTCCAGATGAGCAAAAATATTTCGATTAAATCAGTATGCATAGCTAGACTTCTATATTTTTTGCATATTTTGACCTCTTTATAGTGATTTACATGGGTTTTGTAAAAGCGCCATTGATAATGTGTAAGCTGCCTTCTTTTTTGTAACTTTACAATATTACACTGTTGAATACATTTTCAAATTTTCATGAAAATTAGCATGAATCTGGAGGTGTGCCGCTTTTAACTAATATTTAAAACTATTTCTAAGGATGCCGAAAGCGAAAATGTTTAAGAAATATCTTTTCATTATAATAATTGTGGAAATATTGTACTACATTTACTACTTGAAATAATATTCGCATTATGTAATGTTGATCTTTATTTGCTGTTTTTATGTGCTTTAAGTACAGAGCGAGATATTTCTGTGGATTTGTAACATGTAATGATTTACTATGAAGTATACAAAGTACCCACCACCTATTTCACTATGAACTTCATTGATAACAATAACAACAAATCTAGCTTCTATAACTGAATATATACAGACATGCACTTGTATCATAAATACTATATCATAAAAGTAACAAGAGTTTATTAGTATGTACAAATCAGTCTCATTTAATTATGATCGAGATGGGCGCGCATGTTTTCTGTTTTAAGAGTGTGACATTTTATATGTGAATATATTTATACTTCTTAAATAATTTTCAAGCATCGAAGAATATATAAAATATGTACTGCAAATATTAATTTATCCACATTATATGCAATCATTAAAATATATGCATTCATTTCTTATTAAATAAAATGACTTAGACTTTCCAGAAAATGAATTTCTAATTACATGTACCTCCCTTTATTAACATGAAATGTAAATTTGGTAATATCTATACAAATATTTTTGGAACTTACACTATTGATAAATATTCATTTGTGCATTATATTTATGAAATAAAACCATAAGAATGTGTTACAGGATCTTTAAGTAATAAGATGTCAAATGTAGTTCAAGAAACTTTAATGTAAGGTATTTAGTTAAGAATATTTATCTCTCATTTTTATCACGTCACATACAGTCGCTAGACATGTGTCATTAATTTTGGAATAACCTCATGCAGATATTTTGATTAAGCAAATTAGGACAAAATAACTGAACTTGTCTTTTAGCAAATCACAGGAATTAGTGGTAAATTTAAGTGACATAAAGATTTCTCCGACGGATTTCATTACTACCGAAAGGTACAGGGTCATCAGAAAATAGGAAATGGTCGCTTTTGGTTCCTTCTTTGATTAATGATAAAGTTTCATGTGTTATGTAATGACTTCATTTAATATTTTTTTCAAATAAAACGTAAGAGATAAAATTACTTGACTCATTTCATGGCGACCTTTATTTTTTGTGTTCTGTAAAATAAATTTGCGGTTGATATATATTATAATTGGATGAAGAATAAAATATCTCGTTTTCAGAATTCAGCTATAAAGTTACTGAAAATAAAATCTAGTCATCATTTACTTTTAAGACAATTGCCTGTTTTTACAAAGTTTATACGGAATAATCGCAACACAATGTACCCGTCAGGCATGTCATTATTTATACATTGCTTTCAAAAGGTAACAGTAATAAAAATCTAATATTGCTCTTCGGTGATTGACAAAAATCGCTTTCCTAATCGTTAGCCGTATAATAATATTAATAAAGACGATAGTAAGTTCGTTTAAATCGGTGTATTGTAAAAGTCCTTCACGTTTGTGTACTTCCGAACCCAGTCTGTACTTTTTATCTTTGGACCTCAAGTCTGCTGAGTTTCATACCATGTCCTATCTTGAGAGATACACGGTTCATCCCTTGTAACAGGGTAGATATCTCTACTGATGTAATTCCAGTAATTATCTTGTCGTTCTCCAAAACCTTCAAAACGCAAGAAATCTGCAATTTTGTTCGTATCAAAGATATTTGAAACAGAGGAAATCCCTACATTACATGATATTTGTAGCCTTTTTGTGTTGAATCTTTTCATTAGAAAAAAAAAGACGAAAAGTCCAATATCCCTCGGGCCCATTGTACCGGCTAAAGGTTTATTTTGTTTACAAACCTAAAAATTTTGTAATAAATTCTCTTAGATTGGTACAAATGGGAGATTCTATATTAAAGATACATATATCATTATTAATGAAATACCATTTAGATAAACATAGTAGAGTATTTTTTAAATATATTTTTCTTACCTGTATTCCCCAATCGTGGATGACGAAGGTCAGTTTGCAATTAGACAGTTGACATAAAGTTTGCCATTTG